GTCGGGACGGGGAGGGGTGTGTATGTTTCGGGACATTCTGTTGTAGCACTTGGCGTCGGTGTCGGCGTTGGATCTGTCGCTGTGATCAAACGCGGCAGCAAGGCAATGCTATGCGTCAGCAGTAGACACAGTGAGACGGCGTTGATGCGCATTCGAAGCTACTTGGAGGCAAGTTGAGATGTGCTATCTGCCACGCTAACACTGGTGGTACTCTAGATACCTCGCACCGAACATTCTCGACGAGACTGCTCTCTTCTCTGCATTCGCCGCAAGCCAGACGGACTGGGGTTTCACCTCAACAAGCCATCATCTCTGGAACGGCCAATGCAGTCGTCGGGCGCAGAGAAGTAGCTACCCCGCTGTATATATATTTGTATCGGCTGTGGTGCATCTCGCCGCCACCTCACCGGTTAATCCGTGTAGTTTGTCCCGATACAAAAGGTTTCTCGATCAGTGCAGGCGGTAGCACAGGATCATGCAGTATCAGCACATCGATTCGACGCCCCATGGCGTCCTTGCTGGTGGAAGCTGCCTGATACCATTAGTCTCCGACCCTCTGTCTCCGGCGGTGATGGCCGTAATGCGCCTCGTGGTTGGGTCGCCATACCTCTGAACATGGAGCCAGGAACAGCCATACAATGTGCATCATCGTTTACGAGCTCATCGTTCGCGGGTTTTGAGGGCAACGCTCGTGGAGCAAGTGCGTCTTCCACCCGCGCTTGCGTGGGCCAATGTCGTCGTGGCACAACGGGCACCTGCTCCAATATAAGAGTCCGCAACCCAAAGCGTGTTGCGCACCGGTTGCCGTCGGCGGGGTCGGGCATCGGCACACAGTCGTTCTCTTGGACGTGCTGGTTAAAGTACTTGAGAGTGATGGCTTCGTGGCACGTAGGACACTCCTTGTGGTTTTGCTACCACCCCGAATGAGTATACGCTGGCGACGACGTGATGCATACCTTGAGCTCGCACTCGACAAGCAAGTGCTCGTTGAGCGTGCTTATCTCGATGACCTGGCCACACATTTTGCACTGCGTGAGCATCGGACACTCGGCCCAGAAATGCTGGTCGAGCCGCTCATTGTCAAACGCGTCATTGTGCTCGTCACAGAACGGACACGTGCCGTCGTCCACCGATGCGTTCGAGTCCGTGTCACTGCCAGCGTCCTGCGCCGGTGGCGCGCGCGATCGCGAGGCCGGTGCTTTGGAGGCGGGCGCCGGTGCTTTTGAGGCTGGCGCCGGTTTCTTCTTCGGGGCCGACGCCGCTTCGAACGCCGCCTCGTACTCTTCGAGCTGCTTTGGCCGCAGCGACTTGAGAAATGGCTCGACGTCCGCACCACCGACCTACACGCGTGAGGACTGCATGGCACACACCGGCACACTACTTGATGCAGGAACACCGTGATGTCCTTTGCCAGCTCCCGAATGTCCTTGCTTTGGTGCGCAAACGCGCCATTCTCTTCCAAAAACGTCATGATCCCCTAGCAGAGTGTCCCACAGCGCACAACCTTGTGCGTGGTGCGTACAGGTAGCGAAAACTCCTCGGCCGTGGGACCAAACTGCAGAAGGAGGTCCTTCACAAGGCCCAATCGACCCTGCAGATGCTTGATGGCGAGGGCCTTCTTGGTCGTGCGACGGCAGACGTGACCACCAACGACGTTCGTCCCTACGTCGTCGGCCGCCGCGAGCTACGCACGAGTTGTGAGCTCCAAAGCTCACAAGGTCCAAGGACCTTGAGCAACACGGCCGTGACTTCGTCGCGAATCTTGGCCTGCGGCTCGCCAAGTTTGTTGACCAGCTGCACGATGGGGTTGGCAAACTAGGTGGGCGTTGGGGTTGGCACTCGACTGGACGGAAGAGGACTACCGTGTGCGCGATGGCCTCGGCCCCAAGCACGTCGGCGTGGTCTTGGGCGTACTGCAGCATCGCATCGCATAGCGAGAGCGCTGAGAGCGACACCTGCGAGATGCGGTCGCCCACCCCGCTCTGCACGAGCGTCGAGAGGACGGAGAGAACACTCTCGGGCGACACTTCGTACGCGGGCACATCGAGCTGGATCTTGCGCAGCGCAGCGTCTCTGTGGTTCCACACGTTGCTGTAAAAACACTGCGTCAGGTAGAGTCCGATGACATCGATCATCTCGGCGCTCTCCTTCTCGAGCGCCGACGGGAGCGGCTCGGGATCGCCGAGGTCGTCAACGTCGTCGAGGCCTAGCCGCCTTGGCAACATGTACATATCGTTATGCACGGTACCTTCAAAATGCGGGTTGGGTCCGCCCGACGTCGGTGCCGCGTGGTGCGCGTCGTCATCGCCGTCATCGGCGACGTGCGACGGTGCCTCTTGCACAACGACGGCGGGCGGCGCTTTGCGCGGCGCCGGTTTTGGTAGCGACGGGACAGCCGGCGGGTACCCGCTTTCAACGTGCTCGGTGCGACTGGTTTGCTTGGCTGGCACCCGCGACGACGTTGGTAGCGGCACCCGACTCGAGTCGACCGCGGGGCGCGCCGGTGCTAGGCATACGTGTCGTCGTCTGTGCTGGCTAGGCACGTACCGTTCACGCCGAGGCTGAGCTCGTTCTCGAGCTGCGCGATCTCATCTTTGATGCGCTTAGCAGCGTCATAGTCTTCGTTCTCGACAGCGTCGCGCTTGGCTGCCTCAAGCCGAGCAAGCTGGAGGCCGACGCTCTTGAGCTGCTCCTCGAGCGCCTTCAAGCGCTTGGCCTACGCAACAGCATGCTGCAATGCAGTCGAGATAGCGTAGGTACCTGGTCGTAGTCTTCCATGGCGACAGCCTTCTCTTTCGCCAAGTGGATCTCGCGGATCTTGGCCGCCGTCTTGGCATCAAAGCGCATGTCATCCATGGACGCCGACGTCGATGGCGATGCGTCCTTGGGCGGCTGGCTCTTGGCCTTGGACACGGACCGCGTCGGCGTCGGCGCGGTCGGCAGTGGCTGGTGGACGTGGCTGAGCGAGTCGAGCTCGACCTCGTGCGCGGCTTCCTCTGGCACCTCGCCGTTGATGTTGATCGCGACGAGGCCCACTTGGCTGTACAAGTTCTTCTCGTTGATGTAGCACTGGTGCAGCTTGAGCTTGATGAAGCGTGTGAACGCATCGATATGCACCGTCTTGAGCTCCCGCGCCGTGTACTGGCTTTCCTTGTTGGACTTGAGGCTCAAGAAGCCAAGCCGCGAGAAGGCCGCGCCGTCCGTCGAGAGGTACAGCTCGATCTTGGTCGCAATGTAGCACTGGTGCGAAAGCACTTGGATCTGCGTGATGCGCGCTGTCGCCTCGAGCTCGATCACGAGCTCCTGCGGGTACTCGCAGTTCCTAACCCGAGGTCATGCCATGGGACGCGCAGGAGTTGGCGTACTTTGGCGTGAGGTACCCGGTACCCGTGTTGTCATGCTCGTTGAGGAGCGCTGCGGGGCCCGCGGGGTCTTCGCCCGAGCAGCTCTGCACGTGGAAGCGAACCTTGCGCATGCTGCGGAGCGGCCGGTCGAGATCCAAAGAGGCCAGGCGCCGATTTGTTTCGGCTGCTTGGATCCTATTTAGGCTTTTTGAGATTTCAATTGGGCTCAAATAGGAATTAGGTCACAAGCTTGCACTTTGTGTGCTGGCGAGCTGTGCTGGCGGGACTGTCGCCGCCAAGGTTTGCCCTGCATGCGTATTGCTGCTGCATGAACATGGATGCTGAATGAGCTGGCAGTGCCATAACGGACCCACGTACCTTGGCGTTCAGAGGTGGTGCGTCAGGGTACCGGTGTGCATACTCCTTTTTATGGACCCTGAGGGCCTCTCCAGCGGTTGGGTTTATGCTATAATCATAAACCCTCGGTGCCAAATCCGACCCGGTTTGGCCCAAAGCGGGTCGGATTTGGTGTAGTTTTATAGGCGGTTATTTTCGCTGATTGGCTGTTTTTATCTGAACGCATCGTCTATGATTGGCCAAAAATATGAGTGCCGAACATTGTATGAGATGTTTGCGTCATCAGTCTGCGACGCTTAAAAATAGCCCTGACCGCTGGCCGGCTCTAGTTCTATGTTATGTTTTAAGTGGTCCCAAAGTCCGGATCCGAACATAAACGGACAAATATAGCATAACATAAACCCAACCGCTGGAGATGCCCTGACAGACACCACGAGCAAATAATGCCCCGAGAGGAGCAAAAAGCTAGTGCCTGAAACATGCAGCAGTGATGGACGGAATGTCGAAAGACCT